GCTGCTGACACCTCTCCCCACAGATGCTGGCTCCTGCCGGGTGTTTTGTTTCCGTTCTCTCCTACCGGACCTTTACAGTTTCCTTCCGTGCGGATGCAACTGGAGGAAATCTCAGCATGCTGGCTGTGTCCCAGCTGCAGTCACAGGCTGGGGACAGCACTGTGACTCTGTGTCCTAGGACCTGCCCTCTCTGGCAGTGATGGTGGCAGTGGTGCTGCTGCTCGTGCTGGTGGCAGTGGTGGTGCTTGTGGCAGTGGTGGTGTGGTGCTTGTGGCAGTGGTGGTGCTGCTCATGCTGGTGGAACCCAGTGGTGGCAGTGGTTGTGTTGCTCATAGTGGTGGCAATGGTGACACTGGTGGCAATGGTTGGAATGGTGGCAGTGATAGTGCTGCTGATGCTGATAGCAATGGTGGTGTTGGTGGCATGGTGGTGACAGTGGTGTTGCTCATGCTGGTTGCAATGGTAGTGATGGCAGTGGTGCTTCTCCTGCTAAGAGCAGTGGAGACACTGGTGGCAGTGGTGGTGCTCATGGCAGTGGTCATTGTGGTGGCAATGATGATGGTGGTGCTGCTGATGGTGGTGTCAGTGGTGACACTGGTGACAATGGTGTCAGTGGTGATGCTGGTGGTGCTGCTCTTACTGGTGGGCAGTGGTGGTACTGCTGGTACAGATGTCATGTGTGCAGCTCAGCCTCACAGACCTGCTCCCCATGGTCACTTGTGTCAGTGGCAATGGATGGGTACAGAAACTTTGCTTGGTGATAACTGGAAATACTCAGAAACTTGGGTTCAGTTTTCGGGGTGATGGAAGTGCTTGTTGGGAGCAGGGAGAGCAGGACTTCTTCAGCCTTAAGGGAAAAGGGCTGGTCAGTGTCTTGCTATGTGAGCTGAAAGCAGGAGAGAGGTCGAGAAAGTGTGACACAGCTGGATGTTTTGCTGGGTTTCTCTGAAGGTGAACTTTGAACAGGAGATGTGCTCACTCCGAGATCGCTATATTTATATACGGGTGAGAGACGCATTGTGTGGGTGAGTAAGAGCCTTTGTTCCGAGTCCCGCTCCTAAAGCCCATGTGGAGTGACACTTTGGCTCTGCAGAGCTTCCTTTTCCTTTGCTTGGGGATGTGCTGTGTTTAGGAAAACCTGACTCCACCATCTGTGTCCCACTAGCTGGGTACCCGCAGCGCAGCCGTTGGGTCCAGCATCTGCTCACCACTCCAACCAAGCTTTTCCATTCACTCAGTAAAGAAGATCTGACCTTTCTTTTCCATCAAGTTGCTGTGAGGAGGATCAGCCTCATCCTTCTGTTGCAGGCTCAGTCCCTGGACATCTGGGATGAAGCCAAGACATCTGTAATGGTCTTGCCTCACTGCAAAGGAATATTTCAGAGAGCTCTGTGATCCCCTCAGCTTTGTAAGACTAGGGGATGATGGCTCAGTGGTCCCCATCCCCCAGAACAGCATCCTTCACTGCTCTCTTGCCACACTGGTTGTGTTCATAGTGGATCCTCAGTGGGCTCTTGGCTGCAAAATTCTTGTCGAAGAAGCAGAAATTTTCACAGTCATGGTGAAAAGAAAATCACAGAATCATAAAGTTGAAAAGGATCTCTGAGATCAGCTGTTAACCTAGCACTGCCAGGTCCACCACTAAACCATGTGCCACATCCATGCCTCTTTTGAACACTTCCAAGGATACTGATTCCACCACTTCCCTGAGCAGCCTGCTCCAGTGTCTGAGCACCCTTTAAGTGAAGAAATTTTTTTCTTATACTTAATCAAAACCTCTCCTGGCACAACTTTAGGTTGTTTCATCTTGTCCTTTCACTTTGTTACGTGGAAGAAGAGACCAACCCCCACCTGGCTACAACCTTCTTTCATCAGGCTTCCCCAAGATGGGTTTGAGCCTGACAGGCCAGCGCTGCATTGCTGAGCATCCTCATCCAGGGCTTGTTCACTGTGTCCTCACATGCTTCCTCTAGATCCCCTGGAGCGCTCAAATCAGAAGGATTTATATTTCTCTTGGCAGGTTATTAATATTAGCTGAAATTCCCTTTTCCACATTGTTCTGCCATGCTTAATATGGAGATCAGCATCGCAGCCTGAAACGCCGGGGATGATTTGTGATTGAATATCCATTAGGGATTTATGGGGCTGAATTGCTGGGACGTGCAATTGCCAAAATACTTGAAACGCTTCCACTGGAGAGGAGACCTTGTGGGAAAGGAGCACTCGCTGTTCTCGTAGGCAGGCGGTTCCCACTGAGCCTCCGTTCCTGGCAGTGAGCACACCCAAACCAATAAAAAATTGTCCAGGACCCGGAGTGCCGATGGAGCATGAGCTGGGATGATGACAGGGGGCAGCGCAGGCCTTGGGGCTGGCAGCAGCTCCCAGTCCCACGGGGTTGCTCAGCGGGTGGGATTTAATCCAGGACATGGGTAAACATGGGCACAGTTCGTAATAATGTCCCTGGCAGCCAGTTAAAATGAGATATGAGGTTGTTTGGAGGGAGAAAAGTCATTTTTTGATGCTTTCCCCTGTGCACCTCTGGTGTGTCAAATCAGATCGATGATCACAACCAGATCAAATCATTAGGACAGATGGCATTAAACACACTGAAAGCCTGAAGAGCAAAGGTATGAAAAGTAAAAGCAAAAGATCCTCAAGTGCTTTGTTTCAGAGAAACTGGGCTTTCTAGGTGGTGGTATGGGATAATTCCAACTTTGCATCAGCTCTTTCCTTTGAGCAGGAAGATGTGGCTGCCCATGTCTCCCACCTCCCATCTCTTTGGAGGGTGTTAAGCCCTCTTTTCCTTAAAACGAAAAAGATGAACCTTGCTGAGGGGATTGCCAGCAGGCTGGCTCTTTTTGTGGTTGTGCTGGCCAGCAGATTGGCAGCTGGACATGTAGGAGCCACATGGCCAAAACACACAGCCCAAAATTACCTTCCAGAAATACCAAATTGGTTCTTACCCAGCCGTGGTGAGATCGTCTTGGGGAGAAGTAGACCCCATAAACAAAGTGATGGGTGGGATCATCACTGAAAAAGTATGGTGAACACTGTGGGGAGAGCAGGTTTCCAGCCCATCTTGCAGGATCATTGCAAGCTTTGAGCAAAAATTCCAGCTGCTGTGGTCCAGGTGGGGAGGGTCAGCTAGCCTGGGGAGCTTAGCATCATCTGTGGGCTGAGCTGCTCTAAATCACACCTAAAATGCTGCAGGGAGGCAGCTCCCACCTCACTCCCATGCCTCAGCCAAGCTCCCAGCCTCCATCAGCTGCTAAAATCTGATTGCTCAATGTTGACTGGAAAGTCTTCCCCCCTGAATGTCTCACTCATCCCCTGCAGCCCAGGCAGGATTTGAACTTTGCAGAACATCCTTGCAGGACTCTGAGATAGCATTATCCCCTTTCTTATTGGCAAAAAAAAATTAATGAGGTGTGATGGGACATGGTTGTTGGGAAGAGTCCGTGATTTTAGCAGCCAAACTGGGCACATTCAGCAGAGCAGCTCTGTGCTTCCCCTGACATCTCACCTGGCTTTTTTCCTGTTGTTGTTTAACTTTTTCATTCCTGGGTACCACTAGAGAAGCAGGAGCTGTTAAACATGTTGTAAATGATGCTGAGGCCTGGACAAACCCATTGTCAACACCTAGATGCTGTGATGAGCTGGTCAGGGCTCAGCTCATCTCTACTCCCACCTTGTCTCATTGCATAAGGGTGAAACAACCCAGAGGGGAAAGTTTCTGGCTGCTGTGAGGAGCAGCAAGGGGGTGCCTGCTGGCCTGGCTCGGGTTACTTATGTGCTTATGGGCTATTTTGAGGCTTTGGCTACTCGGCACTAAGCAGCTGCTGACCCGGGGGAAGGACCAGCTTCAAAACAAGAGTCCAGTGGGGAACAACCTGGGGAGGCTCTGGCTGGGTTTCCCTCGGCTCTGAGTGGGGCCAGCAGAGCCCTTGGCTCCCTGCTGGGCCTATCATCTCATGGATTAGCTATTTCCACTGTGGGAATTGATTTTCTTTTTTAATTCTTCCCACTGACATCCTTGAAAGCAAAGATGCCACAGGTTGAGGGGCTGGGCTCTGTTACTGCCAGCAGTGTGTGAATACAGATGAGCAGGCAGGAGGACACATCCATCACTAACCCTGGCAAAACCACACACATGCAACCCCCTCCTAGCTCCCCCCTCCCCAAGATAGCTCATTTGCAGGCAGCTTAATTCTCCTAAGAGCATTAGAGGTGCACTGGTGGACTTGAGCCCAGCGCCAGGAGCATGTGGCCGATTAGCGGCAGCGGCAGCTGGTTTCAGGCACAGCGTGCATTTGGGTGGAGATATTCAACGTGCTTTTTGGGGACACAGAGGTGAGGTCTGGGGGGGTCTGGATGGGTGTCGGGGGGGTCAGCTGGCGTGGATTGGGTGCTTAAGTCCACCAGCAGGTGCAGATGTTGGATGCCATATGGGAGCAATAAGCCATGTGCTTTTCCGTTCTAAGGGTGAAATGTGAGTTACCCTCTCTGGCTTTCCAGTGCCATTTCAGCTCTCCAGATGATATTTCAGCTTAGCTTTAAATACCACGTCGCTTTCTAATCTGTGGTCTCCTGTGAAGATGAAGATGGTCAGGGTTGCTCCTACAGGATATAGAAAGTGATGGTGCCTTCAGGGGCACCCACACCAAGCAGGGGCTTCCTTGGGGAGGAGGACACTCTCACCACCGCATTTCCCTTTCTCTCCCCTGCAGCCTCGCTCTCCGCTGGGATTTATGGAGGTGCTGAGGAGCAGCTGTGAGCCCCGCAGCCCCCGTGAGCCCACCCAGTGAAGCAGCCCCCCGGCCGCCTCTCCTCGTCTCGCCCAGCACCCCGACCCTCCGACTCAACCATTCAAGGCTCCCGTGCATGGATCGCCCCAGCGAGGCACCGCTGCCGGACGCCGCCGACGCCGCCCCATAGGCTCCCGGCCCCCGGTGCTGCCCCCAAGTACTCCACATACCCCGATGGGGTAACGTGACGGGGGTCACCCTCCCGCCACCACCACCCCCCATATGCAGAGGCCTTTCTAGAGCGCCCGGGAGCGCGCGGCACCGGAGGCAGCAGCCGCTCGCCGTCGCACACACGCAGAGGACGCCAACACTACAGCAAAGGGATTTTTTTTTTAATTATTATTATTATCATTAATATTATTTTTTTTCCCCATCTGGCTTTTTTCCCCCCTGGGGGGCTTGTGGTGTGTCAAGGAAGCCGGCGCACTCCCAGGAGTTGGGATTATTTGCACAACGTCTGTATATTGAGTTCTCGATCCTGTTTTTATTTTTTTTTTTTTTTGAAGCGCAGAGGGGTTGTTGGGTTTTTGTTCAGTTTGGGGTTTTTTTGCCCCTCCACACCACACTTTTCTTGGGTTTTTTCCCTGCCACTGTCAGCACCACTTCACCTTTCCACTGTTCCCACCATGGCCCGGATGAACCGCCCTGCCCCCGTGGAGGTCTGCTACAAAAACATGAGGTTCCTCATCACCCACAACCCCACCAATGCCACGCTCAGCACCTTCTTGGAGGTAAGGAGGGGAGACTGGAAGGTGGGGACCAGGGTCAAGTTGCATCTTTTGTGGCTAAAAGCTGATGTCAATGAGAGGGCAGCACATCCTCTTTGCTACCACAGCCTCTGGTGGCATCCTGGGACAGTGGGTCCAATCATTGCCAGCTTTTTGGGATGGGATGTTTTTCAGGACCCCAAGTGTGATGTTTGGGCACAGTAGAGATGGAGCAGAGTTTCCCCATTGTCATTGCATCCCCTGCCAGCTCCACTAGCATGTCATGTCACAGGGTTTTGGAGCAGTGCACATGGCTGCACACAACATGCCCTGTCCTCCCAGCACCTCAAAAATGGCTTTTCATCCCAAGTATCCCAGCATATTTCCCATGCCCAGAGTGTGTTGCGTAATGCTAGAGAGCTTGGTGTTGAAGAGCCAGCACTGGTAACAGCTGTGTGAATGCCACTGCCTCAGGGTGGCAGGAAGGTGGCTGTGATTTGGGGACGGCCACCCCATTTTTTGCATGCTGGGCACGAGGCGATGGGGACCCCACCAGTGGGAAGGGAGAAAAATTCCCCTTTCCTCCAGTCTCTTAGACTTTTGGCCAGGCTGCTGGGCATGCAGGGCTCACCACGGTCTGGTGAGCACACATGGGGAACAAAGGAGGTGGATCATTGGCGAGGATGATCTCATGGTGCCCGGTGAGGCCGGCGCACCGGGCGCGTAATCCAGGGGCAATCCTCGCACCGGGCAATGAGCCATGCTGGAAGCATCCCAAATCCCACGCCTGAGCCTGCAGCTTGTTGGAGTGATGATGGGATATGGCAGTGAGGTGGAGAAAGAGCCCCTGAGCCATCTGTGACATGCTGAGCTCGGCTGGTGGGGCATGCTACGACTTCCCCCCTCCAGCTGCCTCCGTGCATTTCTGCATCAGGAGTGTGACCTCACCAGGTACAAATAATTTCTCCTTTAGAGGAGATGCACTCATGTCAGGGATGTTTCTTTGCCTGGGGTGTAAAATCCCTGCTGATGTGGCTGTCAGGGCTTAAAAATAAATGGCCCCATTGCTACTCGTGACTCTGAGGTGTCGTGAAGATACTGGTTAGAAATCCTACAAGGCCACATGACTTTGGTGTCCTCCAATTTCATGTTTCCTTGTGCCTGCCAGGCTGGATGGACGACGGGTCAAAGGTTCAGAGAAGGGGCACAGCACTGTTTTAGGGTCCATACTGCTCCACATGGTCATAGCAAGGCTTGGATATGTTGGGGTTAACTGGGGTGCATCTGGCAGGGTCTGTTCAGACCCCTCCTTCTCCTTTCCTCCCCAGGACCTGAAGAAATACGGTGCCACCACGGTGGTGCGAGTGTGTGAAGTGACCTATGACAAGACCCCCCTGGAGAAGGATGGCATCACTGTCATGGTAGGTGGGCAGCAGGATGGGGCACCGGGGGGACTGCCCCAACACCACCCTTAAATATCTCATACCTTGAGGCTGTTAAACACCCTGGTAGCATCACACTGAGGCAGGAGCAGAGTTGGAAGCCCAGCTGAGCCGAGCTGAGCTGAGGCTGGTGCTTTAAAAAGAGAGGTGCTGCCCACGCAGCCGAAACTGTGACTCACCCGGCTGAGTCGGCAGCTGCCTTCCCTGCCTGTTGCTCAGGCTCTGAAACATCCAGGGATGAGAGCGCCTGATCCCACGTGGAAGATGCGCGTGGTTCCCATTACCCCCGGCGTTATCTTATCCTGGGGGGTGGTGTGAGGGTTTTTTGCTTTTCCAGCAGCCAGCTGGTGCAGCTGGGGGGGATGAAAGGGAGCAGGCAGCAAGCTGGGAAAGGCAGAGCAGGCAGCTGCCTGGGCTGTATCTTGGCTGATAAGTAATTGGAGATGATGTCAGGCGTGATAGCCCTGCCAGAGAGTTCTGCTCCAGCTGGGAAGTGAGGCTCTGCTCATTATTTAGGGAAGGGTTTGGAAGTGCCTTGTGTCTCCTGGGGTGGTCCTCTGTGTGTAGGACCTCTGTCTGTACAATGTATGTCCTAGAGAGAGGAGGCTCTGTCTTAGATCCTTGGGGATATAGGTGGATAATCCCATGGCTCTCTAGATACAGATCCTCCAGATGCAGATGTCTCTTGATATAGATACAATCTGTGTCTCTACAGGATATATCTTGGAAAGATTGCTGTATCCCACATATATAGAATCCATATGCTGTCACTTACACACCAAATTCTGCCTTTTACCTCACTTCTAACTGGGGCCTCCAGTCTGAGTTTCTGTATCTAGGGTATACGTACCTCTTTACATCTCTTATATCTCTCTTATGTGGAGAGATACATATCTAGAATATGTTTTCTATAGAGAGTTAGAGAAACTATACAAGACACTGTATAGAAACTAAATAGCTTCTATGTCAAAGTTTCTATAACCATATAGAAGCCATATAAGGTACATCAAGAGATATCTATAACCTGGTTTTCTATAGATAGATGTATCTCTGCAGATACAGAAATATCTCTATAATTATATAAAATCTCTATTTTTGAGATATATATATGTCATATATATATGGTATACACAGTTTGGTGTCTCTGTATCCTGATATATATATATTTGACATATAAATATATCTTGGTGCATAAATTTGGTGAGGAGCAGCTGAGGGTGTTTAGCCTGGAGAAGAGGAGGCTTGGGGAAGATCTTATCCTCTCTACAACTCCCTGAAAGGAGGTTGTAGCTAGGTGGGAGTAGGACTCTTTTCACAGTTAACAAGCAGAAGGGAATGACCTCCAGTTGCTTCAAGGGAGGTTTAGATTGGATATTAGGAAAAAATTCTTCACTGAAAGGATTGTCAAGTATTGAAACACCCTGCCTAGGGAAGTGGTGGAGTCACCATCCCTGGAGGGGTTTTAAAGAGCTGTAGATGTGGGACTTGGAGGCATGGTTTAGGGGTAGCCTTGGCAGTGCTGGGTTAACAGTTGGACTTGACGATCTTAGAGGGCTTTTCCAACCTAAATAATTCTATGCTCCTGTATATAGACTATATGTCGGTCTATATATGGAGAAGAGAAGGCTCTGGGGAGACCTTAAAGCCCCTTCCAGTCCCTAAAGGGGCTGCAGGAGAGCTGGATTATTTACACAGGCATGTAGTGATAGAACAAATATATTTAAAGACATTTAAAGAATGTCTTTAAACTGACAGAGGGCAGATCTAGATGAGACATAAAGAAAAAGGATTTTATCATGAGAGTGGTGAGACATTGACACAGGTTGCACAGAGAAGTTGTGGCTGCCCCATCTCTGGAAGTGTTCATGGCCAGGTTGCAGCAGCCTGGGATAGTGGAAGGTGTCCCTGCCATGGCAGAGGGTTGAACTAGATGATACTTGAAGGTGCTTTCCATCCCAAGGCATTCCATCACAGGATGATTTTGTGGTGTGCTTTGTCATCCCTGGTGTGAGCCCCTGACCTGCACTCATGACTGCAGGGAGGACATGGCCTTGCAGGACAGGCACAGGCTGGCTGGGGGGGGCTGCCTCAAGCACTACAAATACCCTGAAGGCCAGCATGCTCCTTTGCTATCAAATCCCAACAGAAATCACACCACCTGTTCAAACACTGGAGTGAAGCAGCTTATTTTGCTATCTCACACCAAGGATGACTCCAGCACAGCAGCTTAGTGACTCACTCCTCAAAATCTGGGATTAGGGCTCGGTGCCCCCCACCCTTTGGGGCTCACCAAGCCATATCCTCTCCAAGTGATGCTGCCCCTTCCTGTCTCTCTCTTCCAGTGCTGCATAGACAAATCTGTTTTAGGAAAGAAATCCCCATTTTGGGACACATAACTGAGCCCAGGGGTGAGGGGTATCAAATGCAGAACCCATTTGACCAACTTCCTCACCATGCTCCAATTTTGAACCCCTGCAACTTGAGGATGAAGCTCAGAAGAAGATGGGATTTTTTTTTTTTTTGTCCCTTAATAGCCTTTCCTGAAGGATGGTATTTAAATGGCCCCATTCCTTCAGACTATCTCTCTGAGGCTGTGTTAGGGGGTCCCCAGACCATTCTTTGGGTCTTCCCCTCAATGTGTTGCAGGAAGATGAACTTCAGCCACCGCATCAACTTCTGAGATTTCAACCATCTTCAAGCCACCTTTGCTTAAATCCCCTACTATGTGCTCCCAAGTACTGGAACTAGCAAGGAGGAGGATGGGAACTGCATCACCCCAAAGCTCAGTGAGGTCATCTAGGTGGGGATGGAGCATGGGGTGGCCACCCTCGTCTGCAGAGGCAGGAAGTCATGGGGACCATATTGCAGATCCTGCAGGTGCTCCTGAAGGCTGCATCTGTCCATAGGAGGTGGAAAGACTCCAGATCTAGATTTGTGTGGCTTCAAACCCTAAGCCAGAGCAGCCAGGGAATTCCTGTATGCCAGATGATGCCACAAAACCACCTGTATCCCCACAGAGCTATGCTGTGAGCCCACTTCTGGCACTGTTCTACCTCCCTGCAGCTGAGATCTCAAACACCATCACCCTGAGTGAAAAACAACTCCTGAAGGGTTTACCCTAGAGACTTGACAGCATTTCTCTCTTCCCAACCTTGCAGGATTGGCCATTTGATGATGGAGCACCTCCTCCCAGCAAGATTGTGGAAGATTGGCTCAACTTGTTGAAGACCAAGTTCTGTGAGGACCCTGGTTGCTGCGTGGCCGTGCACTGCGTGGCCGGCCTGGGGCGGTGAGTCTGAGCCCAGCGCCTCAGCTGACCCCCATCAAGAATGCAGGAGAGGGAAAACCATGCCAGCTCTCCTCCTTCCATTCCCCAGCCCCCTCTGAGCAGGCTTTTGTCCCAGCTTCCACCTCCCCATGAAGGCAGGAGAGGGACAACCATGCCAGTGCTCCTCTTTCTTTTTCCCAGTCTCTCTTTGAGCAGGGTTTTGCGAAACCTTAGTGGGAATAGGTGTTGGTGGAGGCGATCTGAGCTTCTCCTTTAACTTTAAATGATGGATATCAGCCCCTGGGCTGTGTGACTGGGGAGTGACAGCCACTGCCTTTGCCTTTCAGTGCTCCCGTCCTTGTCGCGCTGGCCTTGATCGAGAGTGGGATGAAGTATGAAGATGCCATCCAGTTCATCCGGCAGTAAGTGGAGCAGTGTTGTGGTGTTGGGACAGAAAGTCTCTCTCTGAGGGAATGGAGAGATCTGGCATGTCCCAGGGTTTGATTTTTTTGGTGACACCGGGATTGCTTTTCTCTCCTTTGGGAGTGGGAAAACAAGGCATTGGCATAGAGCACCCTGTGCCTTTGCAGGAGGCTGGGGCAGCAGCTGGCAGCATCTCTGAGGGGCTTTTGGCAGTCACCCCACCTACCCCACATGTTTCCTCCCCAGCTCTCCATGTCCTGGGACTCAAAGGGTGGATGAGCAAGGAAAGCTGCTAGGATCAGTGCTTGTCTCCATTCCTGGAGGGTGCACCTGACTTCAGCCTCCAAAATCCCTTCCTCCTTCAGGCAGGGGGGCTCAGCACCCTGACAGGGGTGGTTTGGGGTGGGGGGGATCTCATGCCACACATCTGACTGTTCTGGAATTTCTCTGTCCCCACAGGAAGCGCAGAGGAGCCATCAACAGCAAGCAGCTGACGTACTTGGAAAAATACCGACCAAAGCAGAGACTCCGATTTAAGGACCCTCATAACCACAAGAACAAATGCTGCATCATGTAACCTCAATGACCTCTTGCCAAAATCCGTGCACAGACCCCCGGGCACTCGCACACATCCCACTCCCTCTCCTCCTCGCCCAGCCCTGTGCTCCCCACACGCCTCCCCTCTGCCAGGGCTGGGCTGGGGACATGGAGCATCTCCAGAGTGTTCCAGCACTCACAGCACACTCGTCTTGCTGGATCCCCAAAAAAGGCTGCTGTCTCCAGCTGCAGCCCCGAGGAGGGAAGGCAGCACTGCCCTTTGACTCTTGGTTTTAGCAGGCAATGAGCTCGTGTGACCGTTCTTCATCACCATCCTCCCCCCTTCCCCCCCCACGGTGCACTGAAAGGGGTGGGCAAAGGGTGCTTGGTTTGGGGTGATGCAGGCAGGGCTGTGCCAGCTCAGAAGGGATGAGGTGCAGAAGGGCCAGAGCACCCCCAGAAAAGCCTTTCCCCACCTCTTCCCCATAAATAAGGGCTGCAGCAGCAGGGATGGAGGTGGGGATGGCACAGTGGCCTCAGGGGGGAAGGTGGTGATAGCAGGGAAAGGTGACAGGGGCCCTTAGCTCAGTGTCCCTAGTGACCAGGGGAGGGGCTGAGCTAAGACCCCCAGCACCATTCCCTTTCTCCTGGCCCCTCTATCAGCTCACCACATCTCTGTTGCCTCAATGCCAGCCAGGATGCTGCAGATGGGGCTCGTTGGGGACTTGCTCCAGTGAAGGCAGAGCTGCTGGGAACCTCGGGGACCATGGCAGGGCTTTGAGGCACTCAGCTTTGTTGGGATGCTGGATCAGCACTGTGTCCCCCAAAGTGTGGGGTGCTCTTATTTATAGCTTCCAAATTCAGTGCCCAGAGTGATGGGTTCTCTGCTGTTGTGTCCCCATCTCTGACCTGTGGCACAAACCCCAATTCTGGCTGCAGTGCCCTGGGGACACAGTGTGCCTCTCAAGGCATATCCATATCCTCCACCACCACTGCATTTGCTGGCCAAGGGGCTGGGCTGCAGCTTTCCTAGGGGATTTTGGGTGTTCCTGGCAAGAGCACATCACCTAATTTTGCACCTGCCTTTTCCATGTCTGTACTGAGGCATCCGGCACCCCCGGAGCACACCCAGGTGGGGTGGGCTCAGAGCTGCCCCTGAGCTGGGACATGAAACATCTCTCAACTTTCTGCCTTTGAACGCTTGCAACAGCTGGAGCAGTGGGCACGTAGAGGGTGTGGGGATGGTTTTTTTCTTTTAATGAGGATAAAAAGAAATTTGCTAATTAAAGGAAAAAAAAAAAAAACTTAAAAAAATACCCTGTTTGTCTTCCGCACATCCTCTGGCCTTTCTTTCTCTCATCACTGCCCAGTAGAACCCGGGAGGTGACCCATGGTCCCCCAGACTAATCCCCAGCACAGTGTCACACTTGTCACAGCTGGCTGCCATCCACTATCACTAGGACATAGATGGGGCCCAGGGGATGCTCTGGTTGTCCTTTGGGCTCACTGCTGCTCACCCCTCAGCTGCAGAGTTGTTGGGACAAGGAGGGCTGATCATCCCATCTCTTGGAGTTTTAGGCTGACCAGCTTGAGATGCCCTCAGTGTCCTGTGTTGGGTCTCTCCAAAGGTTTGTGTGCCTTCCAAAATGTAGTTATCCAGAGACATTTGCTTCCGGGCATTGATCCCTTGGGACAGGTGGTGAGGAAGGCTGGTTAGACACCTTCAGTCCCTGCAGAAGGTTGGGAACTGCTTTGTACCACCACATGGGTGTGCAGCAGAGGTGTTTGGAGCTGTTTCCAGCATCACTTCACCTGTCCTGATGGGGGACAATCCCAACTGCAGGGCAGGGAAGGCCATCCTTTGTGATAAGCTGTGGTGCTGAGTGAGGTGGGGACCCTCCACACGTGGCCCTGGAGTTGTCATGCCACTCACCTTGGGCCTGTCCAACCTTGTAGGACAGCCCTCAGTCCCTTGTGGTTCTCCTGCTCTAGCCCAGGCTGTTGGTTCCCATAACTCATGGAGAAGGCAGCAATGGTCAAAGGGTCTGTGGATTGGGAATAGTGTGGATTGGGCTGATAAAAAGGTGTGACCCTATATTAGAGCACCCTGCTGGGTGGGTCACTATCCCCTTCCTGCTTGGGTCTGTCCTCCTGCTGCTAAAATAGGTGCTGCTTCATCCCCAGGGACATAGGAGGTGGATTGGCATTGTGGTGGTGACAGCCCCAATCCCTGCTAGCCAGGAAACTTCTTGATCCCATGCCCTTCCTTAGAACTGTTGCTTTATGGGCTTTCTGTCCCAGCAAGATGAGTTTTCCTCACCCATGCTCATGGCAGCATCACCTGGAGCACTGCCCAGGGCAGGAGCTCCTGGGATTCAGCCACGATGCCTTTGAGTTGGAGTCAGGCTGGGAACAGAGGGGTTTGAATTCAGCCTCCTTCGGCCACTCTTGAGAAAGACTTCACTCAGCTTGGGGGGCTGGCTTGCTTTATGTAGCATCAACCCAATCACCTTAAAATTAGGGAGCCTCTAGTATAAAAGTAGTCCTTGACCTGGCCATGTGGTGAAATCCTGAGGGCATCTGGCTGGCAGAGTGGCATCTTGATCCTTCTCAGTTTATGAGTCACTGAAAAAAAAAAAAGAAAGCAAACCAAATCATGCTGATTTAATTATCCTAGATCTTTTTCTTTCTTTTTTTTTTTTTTTCATGGATATCTCCCCCTTAACCCTAAAATGTGCTGCTTCCACAAAAAGGATACCTTGGCAGCCCAGGAGCTGCTGTTTTGCATGGAGGGCTGAATTCAAAAGTTTCTCTGGGTTGGACTGCCAAATACTTGGTTTTTTTTTTTTATATGGACTTGGGCTCCTTCCTCTGAGGTACCAGTTCCTCGATGTTTCAGCCTAGAGAGGGTTACAGAAGCAACAGGCTGGGGAAACTGAGGGGTCTTCCAAGGAGGATTTGGTTTAGAAATCTCAAAGATCTCAAAAGTCTTGAGACAGGCAGAAGAAAGGTTGAAGTTCAGTAGACAACATCAAAGTGAGGCCTAAGCAGCCAAGGGCTCATGGTTTGGGCTGGACTTGGGTTCTCTCCTTGTACACTAATCCTCATTTCACTTCAAATGCCAAGATGCTGAAAGGAGAGCCTTAAAAATCTGATCTGTTTGCCGATGCTGTCACTGTTCCAGTTGTTTCCATTGAGTCCTGGCAGATGTCACAGGGAGCAGACACCCCCATGGCTTTGGCTACAAACCAGCCACCTCATTCTGCCCTTATCTCCAGAAGCAAAGGCTCAAACTGGGTTTTATAATTTCTGACCCCCTATCAAACCCCTCACACTTCATGGAAAGCCACCACGATTTGCAGGGATAAGGCTCCAATTTGGTGTGAGAACTTCGGAGACCCAAGGGATGGCAAAGCAAAGATGCCCCAACCATCAAACCAAGAGCCTGTAGGCTTTACCCAGGGGTCAGTCATGGCTGAGCCTCATGTGAGGGAGTAAATCTGAGCAGGAACTTGTAGCTGTGTCCTCTCACCAGTGGCACATGGCACACACATGCCCTCAAATATCCCTTCTGTTGTTTGTTTTCCAGTCAGATGGAGCACGTGGAGGGGGTGGGTTGGTGGGAAGGCAGGAAATGTGGCCATCACAAAAGTCCAGCTCTTCATTTAAGAAGGTTCTGGTGACACATTTAAAGACTTTGCATTTGTAAATTCATATTATGAGTCTTGCAGTAAGGCTGACACTGTGGTGCTTGGGCTGGGAACTTCAGAGGTTTATGAGGAACAGATTTCCCGAGAAAGCAGAGTCTGGCTCTACCCACAATAGAACGAGCCGTTTCCTTTTTTATTTTTTTCATTGGGTTTGTTTGGTTTTTTATTAGTCCCAGTGGGAAGGCGCACAGGGAGATTCGTGACTTCCATGCAGTTTCCAAGGTCTTGTATCTTATTTGCTGCCAGCACGCTGGGTAGGTGCAGCTTGGCGGGTGGGTTTGGGTGGGATTCTGTCTGGTGGGAGACAAATGTGGCTGGTTTCTTGGCACAGAGGGGGGGTCCTGGGCCGGGCTCTTGCAGACATTCCCGGGGAGGGGGCGTTCCACTGCTTCCCTTCAGACTATGATCTCCCAATGAACTCTCCACTTCCCTGCTGTTCCTTTCTGTGCAACAAAGAACTGCATATTTTCCTTTTTAACCCCCTGGGCGACCATAGTAGTGTGTAGATTAAGCCCAGATGACTTTTTTTTTCTGTTGGGTTTTTTTGGTTTTGTTTTGTTTTTTGGTTTTTGGTTTTGTTTTTTTTTTTTGTCTGAGCCATAGCTAAATTATTGTACCCAATGCTTTTTGTATCAGATGGCATCACTTTGAATATGCAGATGAGGTATAGGATCTTGACACTTTATAATCTTTTTAAAAAGAAACTTGTCTGTTTACTTAACGTCTTATGTAAAAAGGAAAAAAAAATGTATGCCTTCGGTAATCACTTTTTTTTTTTTGTTTTTTGAGTTTTATGAAATTACAGTGGTTACACTCCAGCAGCGAAATAAAAAGCGTTCACTGTTTTGTACATCCCTGTGTGCCTGGTGCTGCTAATGGGAATCGTCAGGAGGTGGGAGGCAAAGGCAGAGCTGAACTCTGGCCAAGGGTTGAAGAGTGTGGGGGAGTTTGTTCCAGCTGGAGAAGAGAAGGCTTCAGGGAAGACCTTAGAGCACCTTCCAGTGCTACAAGAGAACTGGAGAGGGAATTTGCAAGGGCTTGGATTGACAGGACAACAGGGAGTGGCTTCAAACTGACAGAGGGTGGGTTTAGATTAGGTACAAAGAAGAAATTCTTTACTGTTAGGGTGGTGAGGCCCTGGCACAGGGTGCCCAGAGAAGCTGTGGCTGCCCCATCCCAGGAAGTGTTTTAAGGCCAGCTTGGATGGGGCTTGGAACAGCCTGATCTAGGGGAAGGTTTCCCTGGCCATGGTGGGGCAGCTGGAATTCTATGATCTTGAAGGCCCCTTCCAACCCAAACCATTCCGTGATTTTATATCCAGTAGAACATGGCCTAACCTTGATGGGACACCCTGGAATACACCAGAGGGAACACTACACACACCCCACCTGATCTGCTCATGAAATCAGCTGAGTTTTTAACTGCTCCCCATCACCAAGGAAGGCAAAGACTAGAGTCTCCATAGAGGCTGAGGAGTTGGAGCTTGCATGAGCCAGCTGGTAAGCAAGGAAAGCTGACACAAAATTGTGTGAGCTCCCATGTAATTACATGGGGTTGCACAGAAGAGTGGGGAAGAAATTCCCCTTGAGCTGCTCTAGCTCAGGAAGGCTTTTAAGGCAGATGCCAGCTGGGAAGAAGAGGTGAAGCAGGGTGGTGTGGCCAGAGCTGTCCTTGGATTCCCCCAGCACTTCCCAAGTGCTCTGCACGGCAGATCCTTATCTCCTGCAGGCTTTGAACCGCAGCTGCAAGGGGCACTGCCTCCTCCTTGTGCAAGAAGCAGCCGGGCCTTCAATCAGCCTAATTGCTGCCTCTCCTCTCAAGCAGGAGGGCCAGGGGGACTGCTGAACACAGCGAGTGTGCTGGAGGAACACCCACCCCGCTCCTGCCTGTACATGCTGTCTCCTACCTGCTGCATTCCTCCTTGCTCTCCGTCACCCAAAAACGTGCACCCCTTGGCAGGCCAGATCCCAGCTCTCTGTGTGAGGCTGCTGCCACTCCAAGCACAAGTCCCTGCCTTCTCTAAGAGGAGTACAACAAAAGTTCATTAAATTGGGGGGTTCTGGAAAAGGCTAAGTTGGCCACTCACAGGGATCAGCCCAGAAAAGCTGTGCATGTCCCATCCCTGAGTGTTCAAGGCCAGGTTGGATGGGGATTGGAGCAACCTGGTCTGGTGGAAGGTGTCCCTGTCTATGGTGGAGGCAGGGGTAGAACTGGATGATCTGTAAGATCCCTTCCAACTCAAACCATTCTATGGTTCTCTGATCTCTTCACAACTGGTGCCATGGTCCACAATGCCTTAAACTGTTCTCAGCAGAAGATGTTGGTACCTGCAAGGCCCATCACAACCCCATGTTGCTGTGCATTCAATCCTGCCAAAAACAAAATCAGTGAGATCCCTCCCCCACCTCAAGGTGGCTGTCCACAGCTTGGGTTCATCCCTGCCTCCCTTCCCAGTCATCAGAGATCAAGGGACAACACCACAGATTCAGGAGGGACTGATCTCAGACTGTCATGGACACCCCTTTCAGAACTCCACCAGCACAGAGGGACCCCCAGAACTCTCAGCTCACACAGACACATCCAAACTGGAGACCCCAAAGCCTTGGGAGACGACCCATGGCTCACACCTCTTCCTCTCCATGTTCCTAACTCACCTTATCAAGCCAGGTCTCCACAGAGCAAGGAGGCAAAGGTTGCAGGGTCTTCAGTAAAGTCCAGACCAGCCACAGTCCAGCCTCATAAGACTGGATTAAAATATGTGTTCTGAGGGCTGCCTTGGTACATTCTGAACCATGATGAAACCTTCCTTTGATTATTTTGGACTGCTGCTGGCTGCCATGGCCAACACTGAATCTTCCCAGGCAAAGCACAGCTCTCATCTCTGATCCCATCTACCTGCTTGGGATCAGCCCTTTTGCAACACCTCCACCTGAGGACCTCCTGCTGCCTGAAAGGGTCTCCCCACTTCCCTCTGTGCCCAGGGAATCTTGAACCATCAGCTGTGCAGGGGTAAAGGTCTCACCTGCCCCCAGGACCTGGCAGCCCCGTGGGTCTGGGCACAAGGTGCTGGAAGGTGGGAGGTGCTGCCCTGCTTGCACTGCAGTATCTGGGAACTCCCATGCTCGTAGGGATGAAAATGTAGGGCAGGTCTTGGGTTGGAAAGAAAATTAAAATGTTTGCAACAAATATAGCTGAAAAGTCAAGTGGGGAATTAGGCACTGCTTGGCAAAGGTACAGGAACGCGGATCACCAGGGGTGGGTTTTGCCCTGGGAGCTTTCCCTGGGAAACAGAACAGTGAGGGGAAGGAGAAATTCTTTGCCCAGGCTAACACAGCAGCCCCCACGATCCAGAAAGGGAATCCTGCAAATCCCTGCTTCGTGCCATGACCACAGCAAGGAGCCGTGCTGCCCTGGGCAGGACCTCGAGGCAAAATTCGTTTTAACCATCGGAGGGAAAGAACATTTGAGTGGCAGGAGGAGAAGAGGCTTGCAGGGAGCTTGGAAAGGGCTGAGTCACTCGCTGTCGGCGTCAGCAACTGAGGAGAAAAGCGTGACTGCCAAAGAGCCACCTGGAGCTTTGTCAGCTCATCTTTAAAGAAAAAAAAAAAAAAAAAAAAAAAAAAAAAAGAAGAAACTCAACTGACAGCCTCTCCCGCATCCCACTGGGGAGCTGGATGTGCCGCACGCAGCCGGGGAGCTCCGTGCAGAAGCAGTGGCTGTGAAAAATGCCCTTCCCTGGCTGCAGGTGCTGGTTTCTGTTGCAACACCTCCCTTGGGGCTCGCAGAGCAGAGGAGGCAGCGCTGCTCTCCCACAGCAGCCGGGCAGCCTCCAGGGACGAGGCACGGCCAAGCCGGGGCTCGGTCCAAGCACCGGGGGCGGAGGGGATTAGAGAGACCTGGCGCTGGCAGGAGGATGCAACGCAAGAGCTGAGATAACTGCGGCTGACTTCAGCCAGCGACTGACTCACCTCAGCCAGGGCATCTTGTCTGGATATCAGGTGGAGACAGGGAGAAGCAATGCATTTAAATGAGCTTTGATCTTTAAAGCAAACAACGCCGCCTTGTTTTGCAGCGCTCAGGCAGCCGTGGGTGACAGGCAAGGACGGCCAGACTGGTTTTGGGGGGCCCAGCTCAAGGCACTCGGTTTTCACGGATGGGTGCTCAGCACTCAAAACAAAGGCTGTGATAAAGGGCTTATCGTGAAAACTCACCTGGAGCTGCCAAATACCAGCTTGTGGTTCTGTCTGCGTTGCAAATCTGCCTGGTTGGGTGAGAAAACACAGCTGGATAACGCAGAGAGACACGACTGTGACTACCCAGCTGCAGCCGAGTGACACATCTGGGAAGAGAAGCATAGTCCTTCTGTTTGCAGCTCCTCAATTTCTTCTATCCAGTCTCCATTTTGGGGAATATTTCAGGGTAAAGCTGTAAGAAACTGGGCTGACCCCCATAACTGCCCTGCTTTGAGCAGGAGACCTCCTTCCAGCCTGAATCATCCCGTAGTCCTATGAAGACCCCAGAGAAGAAATGGATATCTTATAACTCTTAAGGTGCAAAACTGGGTCACTGAAGGAGATTCCAGAGAGATTCTCCCCTTGGGGCATGCACCTTCTCTTGACACTGCACCTGTCTCCTCCAGCTCCATCTGTTATGGTTAAAATGTCCATGGCTGCAGAGGGAATTATGTCCAGGCTGCCTGCTCCCCCACTCAGACAGCTCAGTATCCTCTCTAAAGCATGATTGTATTCAGTTTCATGGAATCCTAGGATCACAGAATGATTTGAGTTGGAAGGGGTGTCAAAGATCATTCAATTCCAACTCCCTGCCATGGGCAGAGACACTTTCAAATATCCCAGGTTGCTCCAAGCCCAGTCCAACCTGGCCTTGAACACTGCCAGGGATGGGGCATCCACAGCTTGTCAGAGGATTTCAACATCCACAACTCCTCAGATGTGGATTTCAGGCCCATCTAAAGCAGTTAAATCACTTCTCTACATGCACCCATAACTCAACCTGTCTTGTTTCCTCTTCAGAGTGCTTCTATCATAAGATGCTGATTTACCACACTCAAAGCCCTGCAAAGAGATGTCTGTGGCTCCATCAGCTGTTGCCATTGTGATCCACCATGTCCTGAAGAGGCTGAGCTGGGGCCCCTCATGTTTTGATCCCTCAATCCACCATTGGGGTC